GATAAATTTCAGTAAGTGTGTTCAATACTTTTTCCCTGTGCCATTCCACATTATTACAAATAACTTCATTTCTGGACATTTATAGTTTGATTTCTTTGTATGTATGAATCACTTGGGTTGTTACCAACATCTGGTGAAAATTTCAAGTCATTAGCTCCTCTAGTAATATATTTACTGAGAAAAATGTGATGTGTTCAATATTTATTTTACCCGCTGTATATACTTTATACATAGTATATACAAAGAGCTGTAAAAAACAAAATGAGCAGTTTCTGTGTTTGGTGCGGTGAACAGGGTGAAGCGAGCAGGACTGATCAGTCGCCGCCTGGCTCTGACCTCAGAGATCGTGGAGAACATTCACTCTGTGAAGGCGTACGGCTGGGAGGAGGTGATGGAGACCATCATTAAGAACATCAGGCAGTGAGTGTTTATCACATTAATATTCATCTATTTGTTCTGTTTGTTCAGAATTCTGATTTAGAAAGGTTAAATGTAGCATCATTCCCAGATCTGAGTTTTTATTCTGAGGGAAATAAAACCATTATTAGCTTTAAAAGTTTGCCTGTTTGTGTTCAGATGACACCTTGTGTAAAACCAGTTTCACAATATTCACTCAATATTCAACATTTTCCTACTTCTCCTCAGGGATGAAATGACTCTGACCAGGAAGATTGGCTCTCTGCGGTATTTCTACAGCGCTTCGTACTTCTTCTCCGCCATCCTAGTGATCATCTCAGCCATTGTGCCACATGCGCTCACCAAAGGCATTATCCTGCGCCGCATTTTCACCACAGCCTCCTACTGCATCGTGCTCCGTATGACACTGACTCGCCAGCTGCCAGGCTCCATCCAGATGTGGTACGACACGCTGGCACTGGTCCAAAAGATTCAGGTAGGTGGATCAATTTAACACATACTTGGATACATTTTGTTAAAGTCAAAATTCAATTGTTGGTTTTTAGTTTTCTTTGCTTTTTATTACTTAACTTTTTTGGGGGTACAAACAAGTTTGTTATCTTGGTACGTTTGTGAAATCTAATTCAGTCCTCCTCCTCCAAAGCTTCTCCACTCTGAGTTTCTAAGGCCTGATGCGACATCCGAGGTGCTCCCTTTCTGCTTCCGTAGAGAGGCTCTCAGATTTCAGCCAGTTAATGGGAATGTGAAGATTAACTGAGTTTTACTCATTCAAGGACACGCACGAGTGCATCAGTAGAGCAGCATGAACAGATGCACTGAAGATATGCCTTGAGTTTCAGATATTTGGACTAAAAAATTTAATAATTAGATATAGGTTTGCAGAAAAATTATTTTTCAGGCATCAGGCTGGAAGTAAATGAGAAAAGTTAAAACTGTTCTGGAGTCATTCCTGCTCCAGTAGTTTTATATTCTGATAATTGGCAACACATAAGGAGAAGCACTGCAGTGAGCGCCTCTTGTACTGATGATCAGAGCTAAAATGTTTAATAAATGAAAAGATTCTCAGCATCGTGGCTGGTTGGTGTGATGGAGTGATCGGCCCACAGCAGGATGTAGAGATGTTTGGTCTAACACTTTACCACAGAGCTTCATGCCTCCACAGTAACATTTCTTTCTGGACAGATGTGTGAGTCAACCTAATCCAAGATGGCTGCCACAGCGAAGTGATTTTAGCTAACACAGAAATGGCTATTTTTGCAGATGTTGAACTCGTAGTGCGGTGGTCATTGAGAGTCACCCCCAGCTCAAAGCACCGATCGCTGTTTTTTCCAAACTTTTACCGTATATTATTTATATATTTTTTATTTTGTGTTATTTATATATTTTTTCCT